TTAAGTTGCTTTATTGAAATAAATGAACTTTTGCACGATATGCTAATTTTTTGAGTTTCACCTATAGCTCTAGTACGTAGTGATGGGACAATCCCCCCCCCCCCCCCCCCACCCCCACCCCCCGGCTCGGTTTGCGGTAGAACATTCGAACAGACCAAAAGTTTGCCGTGAACATCTAACCTAATACAAGTCTATGGGACTCAAACTTGCAAATTCAAAAGTGCCCATTTTGAAGGCTTATATGCAATGTATTGGCCATAAAAGTGATATGGGGACTCACTGTGAGGGACATGAATCAGTCAAAACATTTGTTTCAAATAGTACTGTTTTTAAAGGGGCAGTCAATTTTCATTGCTTAAAGTAAAAAAAAATTGAAAAATTCCTTTAGCCACTTGCCTACCAGCCACTTATAACCTCTTCTTGCCCAGGCCAATTTTCAGCTTTCAGTGCTGTTGCACTTTGAATCATGTAACACTGCACCCATGTGAAATTTTTATCATTTCTTTTACACAAATAGAGCTTTCTTTTGGTGGTACTTACTCACCGTTGGGTGATTTTATTTTTTGTGCCATAAACAAAAAAAAAGAGTAACAATTTTGAAAAAAAAAAAGTTTTTCTTTGTTTCCATTATACAATTTTGCAAACACGTCATTTTTCTCCTTCACTGATGTGCGTTGATGAGGCTGCACTGATAGGCATCACTGATGGACACTGATAGGCAGCACTGATGGGCACTGATAGGTGGCACTGATGAGGTGGCACTAATAGGCAGCACTGATGATAGGTGGTACTGATGAGCTGGCACTGATATGCAGCAATGATGGGCATTGATAGGTGGGACTGATCGGTGGCACTGACTGACAGCACTGACTGGCGGCACTGATGGGCATTGATGGGTGGCACTGCTGGGCAGCACTGATGGGTGGCACTACTAGGCACTGCTGGGCACAGATAGGTGGCACTTTTGGCCACAGGTGGGTGGCACTGATGAGCACTTGTGGGTGGCACTGCTGGGCACAGGAGGGTGGCACTTATGGGTGGCACTGCTGGGCACTGATCATCAGGGCACTGATGATCAGTGCCTTGATGATTGGTGCCGATCTGTCCTCTGACAATTACCGGTTATCGGCAGTACTTTCCTCAAGTACAGCCAAAATAATCGGAAACTGCATTTACCGGTGATCTGCTGTGTCATTGGACATGGCTTATCACGTGGTAAAAGGCCGTTGTGTTTGGCCTTTTACCACATCACCTGATCAGCTGTGTCCGTAGGACACAGCGATCATGGAGATCGCTGAGTGCGTGCCCCCGGGGGCGTGCTGGAGAGAGCATTCTGGGAGGACATCATATGACACCTTCCCAGAACTGGCTGGCCGCAGTGAAACCGTCATTCGGCTATCTGCAGTTTGCAAGTGGTTAAATAGCATGCCTGGGGGGTCCCCTTAAACTACCTACAAAGTTACTTATCTGTACAATGTATGGAACTGCTGCAGCAGGAATCACACCGTAGCCCTTCAGACTTATTCTTGACAAGTGCAGGATTGGACCCTGTTCTAAAAATTCTAATTATATGCACCTGTCAAACAGGTGCAGAAAAATTGGGCCTTGGGTGTTGGTGGTGCCTGAACACTGTAACCCCTCACAATTACTCTTACTGGGCTCAGGCATAAGACTTGCAGTTAACAACTGTTAACAATTACAGATAAATAGTAAAAATTAAATAAATAAATTAACATTCACCTGTGAAACAAGTGCAGAAAAATTTGGCCTTGGGTGTTGGTGGTGCCCTAAACCTAGCTAGCAAAATCAGGATTGAGGAAAGGACAGGCAGCATAGGCAGGCAGCATAGGAAGTCTTGAAGGGATCCCAGATCCCTAACAAATGTATTCAGTTACATCAGCATCAGGGGCAAGATAGTTGCTGTTGATCCAGGACTGATTAATTTTGATAAATGTCAGCTGCTCAACGGAGTCTGTGGACAGACGCACTCTTTTGTACATCACAAAACCTCCAGCAGCACTGAATGTCCATTTGGAAAGCACGCTGGATGCAGGACAGGCCAGTTGCACAATAGTATATTGAGCAAATTCTGGCCAATGATTCATCCTTAAGACCTAGTAACCCAGTGGATGCTCAGTTGGAAAGGTCTCCAAGTCTGCTCTTGCTCCTAGATAATCCTTCACCATATGATGCAGACGCTGCCGATGGGTGCTTAAACCTAACAGCCCTGGGCGCTGAGGACTAAAGAACTGTTTAAAGGCAGACGGCCACCTTCTCCGCCGCTCTTCCTTTGACAGAACAAAGCCTCAGAAATATGTTGTCCAGGAAATGGTAACCTCCCAGTGTCTGGAAAGGTGTTACACAATAATTTTTTTCAAGGCGTCCTCAAGATGTTTCATCTTCTGCTCCCACTGTGAAGATTGGATGAGCTCTGCAACTTTACCCCTGTAACATGAATCAAGAAGGGTTGCCAACCAGTATTGATCCCTCTCCTTGACAACACGAATCCCTGAGTCCTTAAGCAGGCTTTGCAGAATCAGGGAGCCCACGCAGCCTAAGTTTGAGAAGGAAGGAGATTCTGAGTCCTCTGAGTCACTAAGGATGACATTGTCAGGAACTACCTCCTCCCAGCCATGTACTACTCCTGGCTGAGTTTCTGGGGACTGAAAAGTGCCCCTTGAAGACTGCTTTATGTGACCCTCTGCTTCCATGCTGCTGCAATCCTCCTCCACTTCCTCCTCCTGCTGTGTGTTCTGCGGCCCTGCAGGAATGGTGTCAGGAATCCAACCACGGAAGCCTCTAGCACTCCACAGACCGGAATCCCCCAAGGCGCGGAATCTAAGCTCCGACCTGCTTGTTCACCAGGGCCCCTGATGGTGGGGATGGACTTGGAGCAGGCCGAGACCAGGTCACGGCCCCTGGGTTCACCCAGCTGTGGTAGAGGCACCGTAGAAGGTGTATAGCGGGTAAGAGTCTGATGTGAAGAGGTAACTAGAGCAGTGTCGGGCAGGCCGGGTCGGGTCGGTAACAATGGTGGCGGTGTAGTACAGAATCAGCAGGCAGAGGGATAAACGGGCCACAAGCCGGTTCGTCAACAGGAGGTCAGAACGTGCAGGGTTAAGCAGGAGAATGGTCAGACAAAGCCAGGGATCAGAACAGGAGACGGACAGCAAATCAGGGTCAGGCAGGGTCGGCAACAAACAATCTACACTCAGGAACTCAGGAATACAGAAAAGACCATAAGGCAATTGAGCATTGCAAGAGCCGGGTTTAAATAGCCCGCCCGACTCCTGACAGGCGCTCCTGGGTCCTGGTGCTTGCCCGGCAACGTCATTGGTGAGAGGCGCGCCTGGGTCCTAGTGCCCGCCTGCCTGTATGTTTTGTCAGGATTCTACGCATGTGCAGATTCGATCGCCGCAGCAATCTTCTCATTCCCTGACATTGCCCTCCCCTTACGGGCAGCCTCCGGATGCCCAACCGGTTTCTCCTTTGAGACTGGTTGTGAAGGAATTCCCGCATTAATCTGGGGGCATGGACGTTCTGGGCAGGTTCCCACGAATTTTCCTCCGGCCCACAGCCTTTCCACTTGATTAAATACTGTACCTGAACACCCCTCCTCCTACAATCCAATATTGCTTCCACCTCAAATTCTTCCTCACCACTGATGTCTATGGCTTCTGGAGGTCTAGACCTGCAGTCTAAAAAGGGGTCTGGAACCACAGGCTTCAACAACAATACATGGAAGGCTGGGTGTATCTTGAGGAATTCAGGGAGAGCCAACTTAAATGCTACTTCCTTAATCTTACGTTCTACCTGGAAGGACCCCACAAACTTGGGTGCCAATTTTCTGGATGGGCAAGTCAATTTCAGGTTGACCGTTGATAACCAAACCCGATCCCCAGGATGTATAGCCAATTCTCCCTTTCTCCTCGTGTCACAGAACCTTTTACTTTCCTCTTGGGCCTTAGCCATCGTCTCTTGTAGTAGCTTGTTATTGGTAGTGAAGAATTCTAAGGTGTCCTGAGCCGCCGGGACTTCTCAGGAACCAGGTCTGGCAGGAAGGTAGGGTGAAACCCATAATTAGCGAAACATGGGGATTGGTTGGTGGCGGAATGATTCGCATTGTTATATGCGAATTCCGCCATTGGTAGAAGTGTCAGCCAGTCATCCTGCAGGAAAGATGTATAGCATCTCAGATACTGCTCAAGCGTTTGATTAGTATGCTCTGTCTGCCCGATTGTCTGGGGGTGATATGCTGATGAGAAAGATAACTTAATCTCCAGCCCTTCAAATAATGCTTTCCTGAATCTGGAAGTAAACTGTACTCCATGGTCCAAGACAATCTCTTTTGGCACTCTGTGCAGCCTCACAATCTCTCTAATAAATACTTGGGCTGTTTAGGAGCTGTTTTGGCTAGTGGAAGAAAATGGGCCATTTTAGACAGTTGGTCCACAACCACAAAGATCATGGTGTGGTCTTGTGAGGGTGGCAATTCAACAATAAAGTCTAACGAGATCATACTCCAGGGTCGGTTAGGTATTGGCAAAGGTTTCAATAGGCCCCAGGCCTTGTCTCTGGTGGGTTTGTTTCGGTTACAGACGGGGCAAGATTTCACATATGCTTCACAGTCCTTGGCCATGTTTGGCCACCAACATGTACATGATGGGGGGGACTGAGGGTTGTGTTAGCGATATTTATGGTGAAGTCAATAGGGGTGGTGCGGGCAGGGGGGAATACTAAGTAGTGGAGAGTGTTTACTAAAGACCTCTATGGGTTGTAAAAAGTTGCAAATAAGCTAATGCTTTTAAGCGCCTCCCGCCCGCCATATAAAGTAATGACGAGCACAAGGCAGTTCTCTCGTTCTGGGAGGACGTCATATGATGTCCTGCAACTCTAACCACGCGTGCGCAGCTCCGGGAGCGATCAGTGGTGCGCTGTGTCCCTCGGACACAGGGGATCACCGATCAACGGAAAGAGCCAAAGATGTCAGCTCGGTCATGTGATCAGCTGTGTCCAATCACAGCTGATTGATTGCATGTAAATAAGGAAATGCCGGTTATCGGCATTTCTCTCCTCACGAGCTGTCACACTGACAGAGGAGAGGAGAGCCAGTAATTGGCATTCCTCATAGGGGACATTTACACTGATCATCAGGGCACTGATGATCAGTGTGCCCTGATGATCAGTGTAGCCCCAGCAGTGCCACCTGTCAGTGTCCATAAATGCCACCTGCCAGTGCCCATCAGTGCCACATATCAGTGTCAGTGCCCATCAGTGCCACCTGCCAGTGCCCATCTGAGCTGACTTTCAGTGCCACCTATCAGTGCCAGTCAGTGCCACCTATCAATGCCAGTCAGTGCCACCTATCAGTGCTGCCTATCAGTGCCAGTCAATGCTGCCTAACACTGCCAGTCAGTACCACCTAACAGTGCCAGTCAGTGCCACCTATCAGTGTCAGTCAGTGCTGTCTGTCAGTGCCGTCTATCAGTGCCACATATGAGTGCTGCCTTTCAGTGCCCATCACTGATGCCTGTCAATACCCATCAGTTCCACCTACCAGTGCCTCCTGATCAGTGCCCATCAGTGCCACCTATCAGTTCCCATCAGTGCAGCCTATCAGTGCCCATCACTGCAGCCTCATTAGCGCACATCAGTGAAGGAGATAAATCACTTATTTAAAAAAATTGAATAACAAAAACTAAGAAAAAACTTTCAAATTTTCAGTTGTTTTTGGTTTGTTTAGCAAAAAACAAAAAACCCAGAGTTGATTAAATACCACCAAAAGAAAGCTCTATCTGTCTTAAAAAAAAGATACAAATTTCATATGAGTACAGTGTTGCATGACCGCGCATTGTCATTCAAAGTATGACAGCACTGAAAGCTGCAAATTAGCCTGGGCAGGAAGGGGTATAAGTGCCCTGTAGGCTAGTGGTTAATTGTATCTTTATCCAATACACAAAGACCCAGGCTTTTGCAAGTAAAGAGAATCTTGGTACTGGGTTCCTTTTTTTTTAATATGACACGATTTGGGCATAGGTATAGTAACTCTTAGGTGGGATTGAAAAGGTAGCCCCCTTTGTTCAAAGGGAAGTCTGAGCACCATTGTTCAAAAAGATAATCCTGCAACAAGAAATTAGATGATCTTTTCTAGAGTCATTGGAGGGCAAACTGTTACTGCAATAGGGGATTTCAGATCCAGGAAGCTGTCTCTTGCTATTATTGCTGCCATTATCATAGAATGGGATATTTTATATTCGTAATCTAGGAATGGATATGGCAATGTAAGGAGCTCAATTTGCCCGAAGCAATAATGGATTGTCCCACTATGCACTAGTGTTTGGTACTAGAGGGAGCAAACCAATGTTAAACTTTGTAAAAATACTGGAGCATAGTAATTCTTTAAATCAGGAAAGCCCATCACACCATCTTTTTGTTTGAGAAGAACAGAATAAGAACATCTAGATTTTTGTCCCTGCCACACAAGCTTACACATTATACATAATATAGAGAATCTTTGGTAAAATTACCATTTTGAATGTTGCCAGCCTGCTGGACCATGACAAGGAAAAGTTTGTTAATCTATCCATGCCTGAGTGGATGGAAGTAAGTAAAGGAAGGTTGTTCAATTGAAAGAGGTTAGAGGTAGGTAGGTACAGGGCAGCAATCAGAAATTTTGGGGCCCCTTACACAGCTTTAGGCCTGGGCCTCCCCGGGCCTGACCACCAACATTACCCTGGGCCTGCTCACTAGCCATCCCACCAAGTCCATCCACTGGCCATCCCATTCCATGTCCTCCTCTTTCTCCATCTCATGTCCTCCTCCTCCCCTAGTCCCATCTCCTTCTCCTCCAGTACCATATCCTTCTCCTCAAATCCCACCTCCTCCATCCCAAGTCCTCCTCCTCCATCCCATGTCTTTTTCCTCCTCCATCCCATTTCCTTCTCTTACTCCATCCCATATGGAGTGCTGCTTGTGCTACTGGGGTTATGTATAAAGCTAAGATTGTGATTAGGATAATACCCTGAAACCCAGATTTAGGCTGGGCCTGGCATAAGTACCTCCCCCTAGTACCAGAAACAGAGAAGGCACCTTGACTGTTTTGGCTACGTACATTAGATTTACGTGTCTTAGAGCATCTGGCTCTTGGCAAACTGAAATGAAGCCAACCTGATCCGCATTGACTAACATTAACATACAAGCTGAAATTCTGTGGACTATAATTTTTGCATACAATTTCAGGTCAGTATTTAATAATGATATTGGATGAAAATCTTGGGGCGTTACTGGCTCCTAACCTAGTTTTAGTATGGTAATAACAGTGACTTACATAGTTCCATATTTAGTCTGGCTAAAAAAAAAAATCCATCTAGTTTAACCATAAAAAAAAAAATTATAATCCTACACTCACAGTTGATCCAGAGGAAGGCAAAAAAACCCAGCAAAGCATGATCCAATTTGCTCCTGCAGGGGAAAAAAATTCCTTCCTGATCCCCCGAGAGGCAATCGGATATTCCCTGGATCAACTTTACCTATAAATGTTGGTATCCAGTTATATTTTGTGTATCCAAGAAAGAATCCAGGACTTTTTTAAAGCAATCCACTGAGCTGCCCAGAACCAACTCTTGAGGGAGTCTATTCCAAATTTTCACAGCTCTTACTGCGAAGAAACCTTTCCGAGTTTGGAGATTAAATTGTAGCATTTCTGAAGGGAATTTGTCAGAGAGTACAGCAAAATTGAAAATGTTCTCCAAATATCATGTAAGTTATATGGAAAACAGATTTTACTATTAAGCTGAGACACTGTCTGGACCTGGAGATTTGGTTATTGGGTAGAGTTGGAATGGTCTCTTCTATCTCTCGAATGGAGAAGGGGACACTTAGCCTTTTTAACTGAGCCGCCGATAGATGTGGTAAACAAATGGAGTCCAAAAAATTAGAAACAGTCTCAGCTGTAGGTTGAGGGATAACATGTCACATGTACCTACTCTGTGCAATGGATTTGCAGAGATCAACACTGATCCTCTTCTTTTTGGATCCCCCACTGGCGGTCCTGGCTGCTCCCCTCTGCCGGGTGCCCCCAATAACAAGCTTCTTGCTATGGGGGCATTCGAGCTCTCGGGCAACGCTCCTGTGAATAGACACACACGGAGCATGGCTCGGCCCCACTTCCTGTTCTTTCTTCATTGGCTAACTGACTGTCATTGACATCAGCAGGAGCTAATGATTCAGCAGCAGTGTGAGCCAATGAGTAGAAAGGGACCCAGGAGAGCATGAACATTGCTGGACTGAGATGGGGCACGAACATTGCTGGATTGAGATGGGGCATGAACATTGCTGGATTGAGATGGGGCATGAAAATTGCTGGATTGAGATGGGGCACGAACATTGCTGGACTGAGATGGGGCATGAACATTGCTGGACTGAGATGGGGCACGAACATTGCTGGACTGAGATGGGGCACGAACATTGCTGGACTGAGATGGGGCATAAACATTGCTGGACTGAGATGGGGCATGAACATTGCTGGACTGAGTTGGGGCACGAGCATTGCTGGACTGAGATGGGGCATGAACATTGCTGGACTGAGTTGGGGCATGAACATTGCTAGACTGAGATGGGGCATGAACATTGCTGGACTGAGATGGGGCATGAACTTTGCTGGATTGAGATGGGGCATGAACATTGCTGGATTGAGATGGGGCATGAACATTGCTGGATTGAGATGGGGCATGAACATTGCTGGATTGAGATGGGGCTCAGGTAAGTATTTGGGGGGTTTGAGCTGCACCCAGAAGGTTTAATGCATAGAATGTATTAAGGTAAAAAAAACCTTCTGCCCTGAGGGCCGGTTCACACTATAGAAACTCAGTCCAGATGCATTCTGGATGAGTTTCTGCATGCGCATTTTTGACATGTTCCACTGCGTTTATGATGCATTTTTGACGCGTTCCAGTGTATTTGTATGCATTCCAGTTCATTTTCCCCCCTCTCTTTTTCTTCAATTTCAATAGGGACATGTGCATTCCAGTGCATTTTTGGTGTTTTCGGTACATTCCAGTGTGTTTCGATGCATTTTTGATGCGTTTTACTGTGTTCCAGTACAGTTCTGTGCAGAAAAAATGCAGCCTGTTCTACTTTTTTTTTCTGCAATCGGAACGCACTGGAACTGCAAGCACTGATGTGAACTATGACATTAACAACCATATAACCTACTTTCTGTGCATTTTGGATGCAGAAAAAAAAGCAACTGAAACGCCTGTAGTGTGAACTGGTCCTTAGAACCACTTTAAGTTATAGTAGTCATGAAATGCATCCGCAATCACTTGGCGGGGTTACATAATTTTTCTCTGGTATGAGGATGGACTGTATAGGATATCTTTTGTTTAATTTAACCATGTGTAATTTGGGCTGCTATAGTTTGCCTTTGCCATAGTTATCTTATTACTATTTACATAAAAACCAATGCAAAATCCAGGAAAGTGAGGAATAGGGACTCAATGGCCGCCTCCATAATTTTTTGAATTTACAGGTACTACATCCTCCATTATTCAGTATACAATCCCTAAGAGAAGAATCTAAACAGGACCGAAAAATGAAAAGCTCAAAATATGCTTGTACACTGCTCAAAAAAATGAAAGGAACACTTTGAAAACACATCAGATCGCAATGGGGAAAAATATCATGTTGGATATCTATCCTCATATGGACTGGGTAATGTGTTAGGAATGTAAGGATGCCCCATCATTTGATGGAAATGAAAATGATCGACCTACAGAGGACTGATTTCAAAGACACCCCGAAAATCAAAGTGAAAAAATTATGCAGCAGGCTTGCCCATTTTCCTGAAATTTCATTGCAGCAACTCAAAATGATACTCAGTTGTTTGTATGGCCCCCACGTGCTTGTATGCATGCCTGACAACATCAGGGTTTGCTCCTACTGAGATGACAGGATGGTGTCCTGGGGGATTTCCTCCCAGATCTGGACCAGGGCATCACTGAGCTCCTGGACAGTCTGAGGTGCAACATGGCGGCGTCGGATGGACTGAAACATGATATCCCAGAGGTGGTCTATTGGATTTAGGTCAGGCAAACATGGGGGCCATTCAATGGTATTAATTCCTTCATCCTCCAGGAACTGCCTGCATACTCTCGCCACATGAGGCACACTGCACCAGTGTAGGGTCTGACAATGGGTCCAAGGATTTCATCCTGATACCTAATGGCAGTCAGGGTGCCATTGTCTAACCTGTAGAAGTCTGTGTCTCCCTCCATGGATATGCCTCCCCAGATCATCATGACCCACCACCAAAATGGTCACCCTCATTAAGTCTGATTGTTTGGTCAGAGACATTCACACCAGTGGCCTGCTGGAGGTCATTTTT